ATATATATATATATATATATATATATACGTTTATATACATACATATATATATATAATACGCACACGCGCATTATATCTTTACATGGTTTTACATACGCACACGCACATCTACTTAAGGAATGCTGATTAAAAAACTGGTACACACTACATAATAGATCTGATAAGTATCAGTTTCGGTGACATCACCATTCATGATTCCTCCACCAAACATGATTAGGGGATTTTAATCAGATGATGACTGGTGGTGCTGCCACCACCAGTGTAGAAGTGTATCAGAATTTTATTTGTCACTGAAACTGATCCCTTAGGTAGAATCGGCTGCACTACCAGGGCTTCTTGCACTGATTGCGTTTTATACCTTTGAACGCAAATTTAAGATCACAGCATATTCTCAACCTTTTCATAATCACTACTAACTCGATCAAGGTAGGATACATACTTTTTTCGAATTCTTTTATAATAAGAATTCTAACTCTATTTAGCGTTACTTAAAGCTTTGCTAATAAACCTTTTCCATATGAAAAATCTTGGAAATCACTTAAGTCTTGTGTTCGATGTCGATATGAAACGTGTAGGCTGCCGGAACCTGACCTCTGACGATTAGTGCCAACAGATTTTCACAAAAACGTGATTCAATAATGACAAAATGATTATTATTGTTTATTTTCGTTATTTTTCTTCCTATGCTTCTTCCATACTTTCGTTAAATTTAATTTATTTTACTAAATACATATTTACGCATAATGTTTATATATTATTGTCAATCTATATTCGAAGGTTTATCCTAGTCCCGATCCTTTAACGTCAGATTTGTATAGGCTTATATTCAAAAGACTTCAACGAATGGATATCTTGTTCGAAGCAAGAAATCAGGTTGTCTTTACCTCAGTCTGCTCGTATATTTTATTTGTGTGGGAAATGTTTAACCTGTTTTATGATTGTATCATTTTAATTAGGCTCTCTTATGATAATTGGTTGGATTGGCCTCGCCAGTATCGGTGTTCTCACAGCACGTTACTTTAAAAAAGTGTGGCCAAACACGACAGTTTTCGGAAAGAATATTTGGTTTCGTGTAAGTACACAGTCCTGGAGCCAGGGTTTATTTCTTAAAAATGACCTCATGTATAGTAGGAATGTTTGGAGAGGTCATCCCGTGAGAGTATAACAACCGTATTAGGAGACATATCTTCTGAAATAACGGGTCAGAAGTCAAGAAAGGTCATTTCCGGTCAATTTTACTATAAAATAATATTCGGGAATATAAAACATGTGTAATATACCAAATACAATTATGTTGCACATAATGAAAGTTTATGAAATTGCCTATCCATTAATACTAAACTTGTTTTTGTATCTTCTTGTTTTAGGTACAGGTTTGGGGTAAAAACACAAAATATTTTCAGTTTTTGTTAAAATTTGATTTTTAAGATCACATAATTGGTCTAATTCTGAGAGAAAATGGTTAAAAATATTTGCTAATCTAGTATATATTTTTAAAATAAAATGGAAACTAAAAATATCAATTTTTTTCAAAAATTGTTGCACATATTTGAAATTATGAAAGCTTATAGAATTGCCTAGCCATTGATTCTAAATTTGTTGTATTAGGTATAGGTTTGGAATAAAAACACAAAGGTTTGTCATTTTTTGTCAAAATTTGATTTTTTTGTTTTTTTTGTTTTAATGTCACTATAGCATAATCGGTCTAATTCTGAAAGAGAATGGTTAAAATATCTGTTGATTTAATATGTTTTTAAAAAATAAAATTAAAACTAAAAATATAAAATTTTGACGAAAAAAAGGAAAAACTTATGTGTTTTTACCTCAAGAACGTACCTAAAATAAGAAGATACAAAAAGAATTTTTGTATCATTAGATAGACGATTTCATAAGCTTTCATACGATGTGCAAAATAATTGTATTTTGGTCTATTACACATATTTTGTATTACCGATTATTGTTTCTTATTACAGTTTACAGGAAATGACTTTATTGACCTCTGACCCGTTATTCCAGCAGTATGTCTAGTTAACTGGCAGTTCAAACACACCCACGGGATGACCTTCCTTAAAATATCAACTAAACATGTGGTCATTTTTTGCAAATAAATGGCCCTGTTCTTGGAATAACATGTTCATTAATTGCTAATACCATGCCGAGTATCTTTTCCTAGTAATACATAAGTAAAACGGTACCACAAACATAACAACACATATGAGCACATGCCTATTTTGTCATGACATTTATTACAAACATGTAACATGTAGAAAAAATGAAACAGGGAGTGCTGACTTCCCAAGCTTAAATTTAAAACCCTGATAACGAATGTGATTATTTCATCAAATATTTAGTCAACTCTTCCCCTACAGAGCAGAGTATTTGTCACAACGTTTCATTCATTTTACATGAATCAAGGATCATATTCAGCTCGTTCAGCATAACATTGTCAATAACGTTTTAGGCACGAATAACGATAATAATAATGACGTATTCGTATTCGTTCTTGTAAGGTTGCGAAATCTCCCTATTGAAACATGCATAAACAAAAATACTTTGTTTTCAAAACAAATTTATATTTTTACACCTTATATATAATATAGATCCATTCCACGTGCATGATAACGGCTTGGCTATCATTTGCTTCAAGTTTCATACTAATTTTTGTGACGGTAGATGGATGGGTTGGCAAAGGAAAAGGAAATACTACAGTAAGTAATTTAATATATTTTTAGCCTCTAATCTAGAACTTCAGGATCTTACCTCTAAAACATTGTTTCATATGTTGAGTTTTCTCTAACATTTACAAAACTAAAGTAATATTTAAGGAAAATATATATGTAAACGCATTGTATGAATGTATTGATCTATAAATATAAAGTGTTTTTGCATGATTTTTTTTTCTTTCCAAAGTTTTATCATGCTATAATTGGGTCAACTGCTGTTGGGCTAGGGACACTGAATCCTATCATGGCGATTTTCAGGCCACATCCAGGAACACCAAGGTAAGTATTGTACGTAATCGTAAAAAGACGGAATAATATAATAATGTCTTCATTTGGGACACTGTCAAAACGCATCTTATATGAGCTAACCGGACAGGTAATTGGTATGAGAGAGAAGGAGACTTGTTTCCTTTGTCTTGAATTCTTCCAACCAAAGAAACTAGAAACACAAGATAGAGTTCTCCACACACAAAAAAAGTGTTCCACCGAAATGCATGGTGGGAATACAAACAATGGAACGCCCCTTACGACTGGATCTAAAAAAAACTTCAACCAAACTTTCGTTACCAAGTCGTCGCGTATTATATTGTCAATTCTCAATTAAAAAATTGTACACAATTGTACAATTCAATTGTACCCAGACAGTGACAACGGTGAATACATAATTCCTTGGCGGAGGTAGAAATCGTTGCTATTATCCAAATAAAACACACAATTACTGTAAGCCTATGGATCAGTATAGAATACAATATAGCGCAAAACCGTATCGCCGGGCGGACGCACTCTAATAATAAAGTTTTCCTCCATTACTGGAAAAAGAAGGGCGCCCTGTACGTCGGGTACGAAGTATAGAAAACTTGCATGGTTAAAAAGAAGGGCGCCGCCTACGTCGGGCACGATTTCCGCCTCATTTTTACTATGCGAGTGCTCTATCCAGTGTTTGGACCTTTGGTCATTCGCGTTTCGGCCAACGCGATTCTATAAAGAACGCAACACGACGACGCGCGCGCAACGGATAATTTTTAATGACGATCAGTTCAGACCACTGATCTCTACTATTGTTAAAGTAGTCCAGTCAATCTATGATAGAGCACTCGCATAGCAAAAATGAGGCGGAATTTGGTGCAGATGTCTGTCATTTTATTGTTTTGATTTATTTATGCCTACTTGTTTGTATCTTATGGATAATGGCAACGGTTTCAACCTCCGCAAAAGAAGAGTATGTGCTCACAGTCATGTAACGGTGGCAGAAGTTTGTTTAGATCCAGCCGTACGCGGCGCCCCATTGTTTGTATTCCCACAATGCATTTCGGTGGAACATTTTTTTTTCTCTGGAGAACTCTATCTTGTGTTTCTAGTATCTTTGATTGACATTGAGATATTAAGAAAATGAAATTAACTTGCTCATTTTGAAGTTAATATAAAATTTTCAACTTGAACATAGAATTAGTGTATTTAAAAAATACTTACCCATAAAAACCCCTTTTTTTTATTTCATATTCTTTGTGTTTTGTATGTATTGATTCTTTTTTGGTTTTATATACTTTCTATGTAATTTTTTTAAAGTTAATATTGCTGGTTATGGTTATAACTATATTAATTCATAATTTGAGTAATTTGTGAAATTGATAATATTGTCAGTAGTTTTTTACCATTTCTTGTAATATATATTTTTATATAATAGGCCTATTTGTACTGTTAACACACTATTTCAGCCTGCCGGCTGCTTGTGTTTGTGTTTTTATTCCAATTGAATAAATAAATAAAAAATATGTAAATGTCCCAATGCATCTACATTTCTTTAAATGTGTTTAGTTTGAACTCAAATTCAAGTAAATTCACCAAGAATCCTTTTTTTCTTTTTTCTTTTTTTTTTTTAGGAGACCAATTTTCAACGTGTTGCATTTCTCCGTTGGTTTCCTAGGCTGGCTCAGTGCAAGTAAGATTTCATATTAATAACTACAATTAATATTTGTGTGTCGATTGCTCCTATTTCCAGTATCGCGGTTTGACTGCGTTTGCACTGAACCACTGTTTCCATACAACCGCTACACGCTATCGCAGACAGCTTTCGGTGACGCTGGTTAGTCGGTCGAATCTCGGAGTCCTCCCGATTGCGTCGGGGACTGCCAAGCAGTACAACGACTGCACACTGTAGCGAGGGTGTAGCAATTTTAGGGAAGCCAGACTTAAGTTTCTGAGTTCACTTACAATGTTGCATGCAATGTGCTTAATTCGGAGGGCTGAAATGCAAGTTAAGGCCTACTATAAACAGGACCTATTTCCGAATAGAAGTTAACCCATTGGTTCATGTGCATCAAAACCCAACATCCTTAGGCCTACATTAAAAACTAGGTACTTTTTTCAATGAAAAGAATAGAAGCCGGGCTATACTGACTAATCACAGCTACTGCGCACATAATATACTATAAAGAGCTTAAAGATCATACAAATATAACTAAAGTGTCTATATTGTTGAAAAACTCACGTAAACTCTATTTTCTCCAAAATAATAGGTCCATGATCTGAGACAACTATACTGTACTTGTACTTGGAGTTGAATAGCTTGGTGGTTAAGATGCTTGCCTTCTAATCCCAGGGTCATGGGTTAAATTCCTGTCAGTTGCAGGACTTTTTCTCATGACCAAAACAACTCCACTCCCTAAACTCATATTGAGATTTAGTTTGTGTAAAGCATCATGTGTGTATGTTTGTCTTGTGTGTCGTGGACTGTTTTATGTGTACTGGGCTCTCTGGGAGAGCAGTAGGCCTAAATTGTTACTGAAGAGGAACCCCAGTAAAAGAACAAATAAATAAAAACAATAAATAAATAAGTTGTCTCCGATTATATGTCATCATCGAACTACATGATTTTAATGTTCAATATCTAAAAGGTTGTTTTTCTTTTTTTAATTGTACATTACAGTTGTGACAGTGTTTTTCGGTGTCAGAATCTATTACATGGAAATTGACAAAGTGACTGACATCGACGCATTTAATGTTTTGATTGGATTTGCAGTTTTTATTTTGCTGATGTTTATTATACTTGAAGTTCATGGATTCTGCAACAAAAAACAGGGTAAGAATGTTTCTTTTTTTACGTCTATCTGTATCCAGTGTTCTCCCGAAGCCGTTTTAGCTGTCAATTTTACCAGTGAAAGTAACTGACCAACTAGTAAAAATTGTGTGTTGGTAGAGTAAAAAAGCACTTATTAGGCCTATGCAGCCCAGGCCTATAGACTATAATTATATGTATTGTCTTTTTTTTTAAGTCATTGAACTCAATACCTCACTTTGCGCACGGTAAGCTGGCTTTATATGGACAAATTTACACGCCAGAAACAAGTTTTCAATTGAGAGAACACTGGTATCGCGTTGTCCCATGAATGGAAGTGAATTTGACCCAATCTGTGCTTAACTATAATTATTATTAACGAATATGGCACTTCGGGCTAAATGGAGGCCAAATCCTTTTTCTATTTTCTAAATATGTTATGGATTTAGGCTGTATGGAGGGGGATCAACGATTAATGTCGGTGAAGTATCTCAATTACTGCTGGTGTTTTCGCCATTTACCACAATGTGATCATGTTTTAAATAGTAGAAGGTATCGAGCCCATCATGAAATCGGCTTCAAAAGCAAGGAACTATTGCTTTTTCATTATATATTTCAGACACTCCGGGTGATGTTGCTTTAGATACTTTTGATTCCGCAACAGATGCACCATTTAAACAAGGACAAAATAGTTCAACACAAGAGAATCCGGTAAGTTCTTGCATGTTTTATTTTTTAAATTAATATCATTAATCGTTGTTTTTGTTGTAACACGCTAATGATGATGTCTGTTTGATGTGCTTTATCTTAGCTGTGCGTGTTGACGTGTAATGGTGACGTTTATGTAGTTATTGCTACTCTTTTGATACGCTAAACTAGAGTAAATATAATTCATAAGTTGATATTAACATGAACAAAGTCAACATGAAACTAATTTTACTATGAATTCCCAATATTACATTTAATAGTCTATTTTAAGCGTTCTTTGTTCGGATGCTAAAATGTTTTAAATCTTATGTTTTGCAGGGTTCAACAGTGAAGACCATTCTATATATTCTGTATATAGCTGGTGTTTTACTCACTGTGGGTTACTTAGTTGTGACAATCGTAATGAAGGACTAGTGAATGACTCGAAGTTTTCGAAGTTTATTACAGACGTTAATCGTTTTTTTTTTTTAGTTTTTGTTTTTTGTGATTTTATAGGTAGGCCTATTGCTTGTTGACGATTATAACCACCTTCATATTACTATTATTATTATTAGGAATAGAAATGTCCTTTAATCCAACCTGACATATTATTACACAATATTCAATATGTCCACAAGTACTTGTAAAACGCGTTACACGAATGGGAAACGAACCAACACCCCCAGATAAACAATTTGGCATTATATATTATTATTATATCGACCACTGTTTCTTGAGCTAATGACTAGGTTTGAATTCAAACACAACCGATGGATCTCGAAATATATAGTAATGTTTTTCAAATTATTCATTTTATATTTTACAAAGTACACTACCAACAATTTTGGAAAACTGTTGGTAAAATAATTCACAATTGGTCAAAGATATTGTTGGTGTATACTGGCCAACAGAATATATATGAAAAATACTTAGAACTGAGTCCAATGAAGTCTCAATTACAAGTACTCTATATAGAAGCTAAATTAATACGTGGTACAGTATAAGGTATTAAGTTAGTTGATAGGTGTGACATAGATGATATTTAATTAGACTGTGTATAAATGTATGTAATGTAGTTAGATTTATATAGCGTTGTATACAGAAACGGTCTCAAAGCGCTCGAGGTGTGGACTAGCTGTTACAGTAACTTGCTTCTCCCTTAAATGTCTCTTCACGTCTGAGCTACCCGGTGATCCGGTCCTGCTACTCCCGTCTATCCACATCAGGGGCTGTAGTAAGGAAGTTAAAAAGGCTCCAGATATTTTAGTAAGGTTGACCTAGATATCTCGAATGTGCTGTGCATTAAACACTTCAATCCAATCTAAAATGCACTTCTTCTTGGGTGTAGAATAATACGAAGATGGACACAGATCCAGTAAGAAATTACAAATTTGTTATGCCAGCGCAAGAAATGCTGAGCAATGTCAGTTCAACTAGATTATCTCAATGGAATAGTTTTGGAAAAACAATAAAGATGTTGCAGTCTTGAGCAAATTGCAGTAAGTGGTCACGTGGTACAAGAAAGAAGCATTCAATAAAGTGCTTGTAACCAGGGGTGGCGCCAGCGGGGCCAGTGC